TATATATATTATATGTGTATATGTATCTATCTACGTATATATGTATGCATATATGTATCTATCTACATTTATATGTGTGAGTGTGTGTGTACACACATACACACACGTAGAAACATACGTATATGTGTACACACACACAGATCTGTATCTGTGTGACACACACACACACACACACACACATTTATTTACTTTGAGTTCTTATCATGAAAGACCATGAAATAAAAACAAAATGATGTTAGAAGTTTTCAATAGAATCAAACTATTAGACCATGGCTTTCATGGCTCAAGTATTTAATGGATGACTTGTGGGATAATGAGACTATCCGAAAATTTACAAACAAACCACACAATTCTTATGTATCAACACATTTAACACCCAAAATTTGATGTATATACTACTTATGACACACCATGGCTTCATAATCTCATGAATGAAAAATTGTATTCCACTTTTTAAAAAAATTGTGTTGACTGTATTTTTGAGGTAATGTTAGAGGTTTGGGTGGTATGCATATAAATATGAATGTTTTGGTGTTAGAAATGTAAATACATAAAAAAAAATGTGATATGTATGTGATCGTGCCTTCAGTGTTTATCGTGGACATTTCATTTGCGTTAGAATGAATTCACTCAAAAATCACTTTGGATTTAATGGCGTACACGCTCTAACTAATCTTCATTTCAGCAAGGCAAGCAACCCAACATATCTATTGACTGACTCATCCGACGACCTCGACATTTAAAAAAACCACTAACGAAAAAAGGTAAAATCGGCTGATGACTAAATCTAAATTATCATATTCAAGAAAATATGTCTTCTTCTCCACAAAACTTCTTTGAAATTTCTGAAACTGCAATAAAAACTTTAGTAATCTTTTTTGAGCCTATAAAATGGTCCGTCTTCAGGATGATGTGAATCAATAAAGATGGCACGAATATTGAAGGAAGTCGCTGATACAACTCGAGCATGGAGCGGCTCCACATTTATCGGACCTCTCTTCATGCTTTGCTTCGCGACTGCGGTTATGGCCTTTGTTGTTTTGTCATGCGTAGGGCGTAGGAAGACGGCGAAGAAGCGGAGTCAGAACGTGAGCGGAGTCAGAACGTCGTATATTATGGCGGTGGCGGTGATGGTGGCAGTAGGGCTCTGAAAGGCGACGGAGGTGGGATGGGATTGGCTTCTGGCGGGTTGGCTTGTGGCGTTGGTCTTGGCCTTGTGGCTGGTCTTGTGGTTGGTACTGCTGCTAATAGCGGTGGTGTTAGTGGTGGTGACGGTGGTGGTGGCGGGTGTGGTGGTGGAGGAAGTGACGGTGGTGGTGGTGGCGCTAGCGGGTGTGGGAGTGGCGGTGGCGGTGGTGGAGGATGTGGCGGGGGCGGCGGGTGCGGTGGTGGATGACAGAATTAATTTGTTGGTCTTGTGTTTCTCTAGTACAAGAAAAAAATAGGGCTCCTATCATTTTTAGTTTCGAAATTTTTGTTCTACAAGAGTTAAGTTTCACTTGTGTTAATTTATAAGTTTGTTCCTACACAAAGTAAGAAAGAAACTAGTGATATGCGAGATTAATAAGATAAAATCCTATAATTATTTTGTGAGTAATATATAGTTTAATGAATCACTCAGTCATTAATGCGTACATATAATTAGCATTAAGCTCAATGTGTAATGCATTTTCTCGCTCACTATTTGTCTTGTTGAGGAGAAAATATTAAATATGTTGCACGCACCTGCGACCAACCAATAGGAGGAGAGAGAGAGAGAGAGAGGAGGGACATGCTCACACTTCTTCTCTCTCTCTCTTCTCCTATTAGCTGCAAGTACATTAGAGAGAGAGAGAGAGGAGGGACATGCTCACACTTCCTCTCTCTCTCTCTCTTCAATATTTTCCCTTGTTGAATGTCCTTTGCATGTAGTACTTATTATTTGTTCAAATAAGATAAAGTCTTGGATGAATAGCTCTATGAATAGGAGACTTCAGAAGGCTTTGAACGAGTGCACCAATTTGGCATTTGTCAATTTCCCATCACAAGCAATATATTTTTAAGAGCTTTAATTTAGTTAATATGAAACTTTGACTAATTGTTTTTTATTTTAGTGCATATTTGAATGAGTAAATCACGCGGTTTGTTTACTTGATTGGGGAGGAATTGATGACAAGAAGGAACCACTATTTCCTACTATTGATTAATTAGGGCTTAGATTAAACTGAGATAATTAACTAAACTAATTAATGTTGTAGAATTTGTTATGATAGCCTAAGCTTAATCTTAACTAAAATGAAAATAAATTAACTTATCGGTGCTTATATATTTGATTCTACAAATGAAGTGGGCATTAAACTCAAGTAAAATTAAGAAATAATTTAGGATTCCTCCATTAAGTGCAATACTATTTAAATCTTTATTAATAAACATATACATGGAATGGCACCTAAAAATAAAATAAAAATACCTATTGAAATTGTTTTGGGTATTAAGTTTTTTTATAGGAATCCCTCACATGCGACAAGCTCTCTTTAATCAGTCGTATTAATCAACAGCTAGCTTACTCTTGAAAAGTATATTTATGAAAAATCAATTAAAATCAGAGAATGACATATATACACCCAATTCTACAATCAGCAGGTCTTATTTATATAATTATGCATTTGTTCTTTTTGTTTTTTCTGTAATGCTTTTAATCGGCATTTGATAGGTGTTGAATCCAAAAGTGTTCGAGAAAATCACCCGAGAAATAGAATATTCTGCTAGAAAGTGTTGAGAGAGAGAGAGAGAGCACAGTTGGGGACGGTAAATGAGTCGTTTACTCATGACATAGACCCCTATTTATAAACATAGGTCACCGCATTACAAAAGTACTTATTAGCCCCCTCATTATTAATTTTTCAGGGAGATTTTTTGATAAATACAATGTTATTTGCATATAATAAAACCGGGTGCTGATTCAATCGATGATATTTGTCGATCGTCTTATAAGTCTTGACTTGATCGATATCTAATCCGAAAGAGTCTCATGTTGATCATCTTGAGAACTGATCTATGCCTTGTGGAACATTTTTTGACACATTCCGTAGATCGTTCGGACAAGAGGCCTCCCTTGCCAACATCCAGTTCAAGACGGTCTTCAACAACTATGCTTGATCGTCAGTGTCATACTTTTGTGTTTATCTGCCTTGAGATTCGTGTTGACATATTTGTATACATACAATAGGAATTATATTTAGCGTTAATTTGATTGCTTTTTTTGTAGAATCTTATCTACTAAGTAACCACGAGCTCAATTTTATATAACTAAAAATCTTATGAACGAGTTCAATAATATGCACTAGAATAAAGCATTTGACAGGATCAGAATATTCTAAGTATATTTAGAGAAAACACAAGACAATAAACTTATCCACCTTTAATCTTATGAACGAGTTCAATAATATGCACTAGAATCAAGCATTTGACAGAATCACAATATTCTAAGTATATTTAGAGAAAACACGAGACAATAAACTTATCCGCCTTAAGTCAGACGGACAATCGAACAAACTCACTCAACCGACTTCTACTGATTCATATGATAAATAACAATTCAAGTTCGTTTGTTTAGTTAAAACAATTCATTCAATCGGTTCAATTAAATAAGCTCAGTGAGTTCATCAGTTCTCTTTATATTTGGACAACATTATACTATATAGATGCGCCACACTATTTGTTATATGATTGTTATTATTTTGATATATTTTCTCTCTTTTATTTATAATAAGAGAGGGCAAAAAGCTATAATGAAGATAGTATTCCTCTCTGTATTCTTTCATTTTCCAGTGTCCCACATTTTCTCATCTTATGAGCCATTTTATGTCCCTCGTCTTTTGGTAGTTAAAAAAATTTTAGACCCAAAGCAGCATTGCAAAAACAATCTCTCCAAGCCACAGAGGATACTGTCTTGATCTGAATATCATCAAACATGTCTCGGAGGCGATCGCTACTCTTGCGCTCGAAGTTGTGTCGGATGTGTGCATCAAGTTTAGAACGCCAGGAGAATTGTTTCTGCAAAATTATAGAGATTATGTTGGTTTGATAAATAAATAAAATCAAAATAAGATATTTGTGAATGATATAAACCGCAAACTCCTGAAACCAAATGTCTCGAATGGCCATCAAAATCTCCTTCCACGACAAGTACGTTGAGTCATACTTGCGTCGAATGATATCCCAAATTGCATGAATAGTCTAGGTCAGGGGGTAGA